TCAGGGGGTTGGGGGGCTCCCCCCTATCAGGCACAGAGGAGGGCTGATCAGGGGGTTGGGGTGCCTTCCCCTGTCACGAACAGAGTAGGGCGGATAGGGAGGTTGTGGCCCCGCCCCCTGTCACACACAGAGCCGCAGGGCGATCAGGGGGTTTGGGCGCTGCCCCCTGTCATGCTGATCCCGGTGCCGGGAGCCTCGCTGCTCCGCTGATCCCGGTGCTGGGAGGCCTATTACCCTTTTACTATATAGGATAGAGGCCTGGTGCATGGGTAGGGGCTGGCTGGTTTGCCCTGAAGGGTGTCCTGGATCAGGGTGGGGGTCCCCACTGGGGTGCCTGGCCAGTCTGGGTGAGGGGCTGAGGGCTGTTTTCCGGCTGGCGAGTGACTAAAGCTTCCAACCGCTCCTTGTTTTCTTCTCTTTTTTTTTTTTTTTTCTGGGCCAGCTTTAGCTCTGAGGCCTTGCTGCTGAAAACATAGATACAATGTTGCGGTCCGAGCCCGGCTGAATGGAAGCCCTTTTCTGGGGTTTTGTTTAGCTTCTTATTTGCAACATAGTATATAGTTGCTTAGAGTTGCAACTGAGAGGCTGGCAAGTGAGGCGGGGAACGTTGGAGTCTGCAGCAAGCAAGCCTCTCTGCTCGCTTCAGTGCCTGGCTGCCGGCCGCCATCTTGGCTGACAGTTAATTTGCATATACTCACTGATTAGCCAATGAAAAGGGTAGCGGTCGTACGCTAATTACCATGTTTCTCTTTTATTAGTGTAGATATTTTAGTTATATATGTCCTATATGTTTAGATATATGTCTATATCAACTTATATAGTAGACAAATAAAATGTCTGTATATTGCATATGTATTATAAAAGAATAAAATAAAAACATTTCCAGGAATGACATACCCTAACTTTTAATTAGTGATTACCTCTGTGGAATAAGACTATTTGTAGAAGTAGGGAATTGGAGGCTGCCTAGGTGTCTGTCACCAAGGAATGGATAGGTAAAGTGCAGTAATTGCATCCTGTGGAATGCTATGCATCATTTAGAAACATGTGCTTACATGTAAAGATGTAGTTATAGCAACATGGATCTATAAAACAGGGTTTGTGTTTTAAAAGTAAAAAGATACTATTTATAGCATAAAAACACATGCAAATAACAATATATAATTTACTATATATATATATATGCAGATAGATAGATATCTCCAAAGTATATATCACATTTTAATGTGAACCACAAGATGAAGAGAATGAGAGAAGGACTGAGAATGCACAGGAAAACAAAAATAAACAAATGAGAGCAACAGTTCACAGTTAATAATAACAGATCATGGAAAGAATAGTGTGATTAATTTAACTCTGCACTTAAGGTTCAAAAAAGAGTGGAAAAAGGAAAAGAATATGGTGTATGTAGTATAAAACAGGGTGCGAGATCCTGGAAGAAAGATGAGTAAGAAAATTGGTTCATAAAGACCTGCGATCATATGATGATAATTGAAATAGAAAATAAAAATGCATATAAATATTTTTGTATAGGGAAAATGAGCAGAACTTGGTGATATTGGGATAAAGGACAGGGGAAGAATCATGGAATTTTATTGCTAAAGGTATTTTAATAATCGTCTTACTTTAACTTTCTATTTTTTAACATTTTTTGTTAAATTTATTAGGGTGACTGGTTAATAGGATCATATAGGTTTCATGTGTACATGTCTATGATACAAGATCAGTATATTGCACTGGTTGCCCACCATTCAAAGTCAAACCATCTCCTGTCACCATATATTAGCCCCCTCGACCCCATCACCACCTGCCCACTCCCTTCCCTCTGGTAACTACCACAGTGCTGTCTGAATCTATGAGTTTCAGTTTTATATGCTACATATGAGTGAAATCATATGGTTCTTAGCTTTCTCTGGCTGGCTTATTTTACTTAGCTTAATATCATCAAGGTCTATCCATGTTGTCGCATATATAAAAGAATAACTTTCTACCTTTTATTAAAATATATTTTTATTGATTTCAGAGAGGGAGAAGGAGCGAGAGATAGAAACATCAATGATGAGAGAGAATCATTGATTGGCTGCCTTCTGCACGACCCCTACTGGGGATCAAGCCCTCAATCCTGGCATGTGCCCTTGACCCAAATTGAACCTGGGACCCTTCAGTCTGCAGGCGGATGCTCTATCCACTGAACCAAACCAGCTAGGGCTAACTTTCTGCTTTTATAGAAGAAACCACAATGAACCAAGAGCTCATAAATCATTTGTCTTATTCATGCTTGCACAAAAATTCATGAAAAAGCCAAATTAGAACAAACATGTTGTAATTGCTAATTTAGTGAGTTTCTATACCTGGTTCTCTAACAGTATTCACCGAAGTAAGGAAGTCAAT